CCCGCCACAACGCCCGGCTATTTTTTGGTTGCAGCCATTATTGTTGTTTGGCGGGCCGGGCTGGGGATTCGAACCCGCCACCTTAGGTGTGTGCGGCTGGCGCCTTAGCCACTTGAGCCACAGGCGCCGAGCTGAGTGAAAATTATCTTATCAAGATAATTAGAAGGTGCTTCCAGCTCAGAGCTAACCAAGCCTTCTTCCTGCTGGTGAATAGACACAGCATGGTAAGCATCTCCATGTCCATCTAGGAGGTGTATGAGTGCAAGAAGGATGAAGATGGGCTCCTGTATATGATGTGTGCCTCCCAGGAGACATTTGGGATGAAGCTGGCAGTGTAAGACCAGAAAAATAAATGGATTCTAGAACTTTCTATACCCTTACCTGGGGAAAAAGGGATGTTACCAACTGAAATTGATAAGTTCACCTAACAACAAATCATCAAAACAGTAGTTTCCCCACCTCCTAGAGTTTTAGGAAGTTGTTTTTGTATTTGAAACAGAAAAACTGAGCTCCAAATGAACACATTCAGCTTCAGAAAACTATGTCACTTAACCTAGTCTACCTTGTTTTCAACTCTTAGAAGTTTATCTTTTTTTTTTTTTAATTGCCCTCAGTAGAGTGCCGTGGCCTCACACAGCTCACAACAACCTCCAACTCCTGGGCTTAGGCGATTCTCTTGCCTCAGCCTCCCGGGTAGCTAGGACTACAGGTGCCCACCACAATGCCCAGCTATTTTTTTGTTGCAGTTTGGCTGGGGCCAGGTTTGAACCTGCCACCCTTGGTACTTGGATGGGGCCAGCGCCCTACCCACTGATCCACAGGTGCCACCCAAATCTTAGAAGTTTAAAAATAAAATACTTTGCATTCTGAAAAATAAAGTAACACATGTATATAGTGAAATTTTCAGTAGTCCTCCCATGAAAGTCAATACACTCCTTATTGCCAGTTCCTCAGTTTCTCTGAGGCACTTAGCTAACCAATTTCTTGTGTTAGCCTTTTGGACAGTCTGTGAATATTCAAGTACAGAATATGGGTATTTGTCCATTCCCCTTAATTTTTTACCTAGGTCATAGCATACTATACAAACGGTTCTGCATCTTTCTTTTTATGTGTCTGCTTATTTTGTCTTCCAAACTTTTGTTCTAATAAAATTTCCTACTTTCTTTTTGAGTCAATTTTGACCATTTTTCTAAGAAACTATTTCCTTGATATTTTCCATTTATTTTTATAGAGTTGTACATTATATTGTCCTGAAACACAGAACAGTCAACAATAGTGCTCATACCTACTGGCTTAAATATTTTTTTTTTCTTTTTGGAACAGAGTCTCACTCTGTCCACCTGGGTGGACTGCTGTGGCATCATCATAGCTGACAGCAACCTCAGTCTCCTAGGCTCAAGTGATCTTCTTGCCTCACACTCCAGGGTAGTTGGGACTACAGATACCTGCAACAAGGCCAGCCAGTTTTTCTATTTTTAGTAGACCAGCCGATCTTGCTTTTGCTCAGGCTGGTCTGGACTGAGCTCAAGCAATCTATCCGCCTTAACCTTCCAGAGTGCTAGGATTACAGACGTGAATCCCTGTGCCCATTCTTGCTTAAATATTTAACACATCACCAAAAACATCCTGAAACTTGTGGTGAACAGGCGAAGATGAGGTTAAGAAAAGTTGGGGGCTGGTGGTTAGAAAGTGGAATCTAATTTTGGAGGTTGGCAAGGAAATAGAAGTGGCTATCAGTGTCCTAGGGGAAGTGGAAGGGGCCTTGGTGATTGGATAAGTGTAGGAAATAGGGAGGGATGGGATGGCAGGACAGGTTGGGGCAGTTTTACAAGATACTCTCTTTAATTAAAAAAAATAAGGTTTCATGTCTATTGGCCTAAATTTTAATCTTAATGTCACCTTCACCAGTATTTGGATAAATACTGGAAATGTGCCTGGTTTGAAGGATACTTTAATATTTATTTATTTATTTATTTTGAGACAGAGTCTCACCTTTGTCACCCTCTGTAGAGTACTATGACGTCTTAGCTCACTGCAACCTCAAACTCTTGGGCTCAATTGATTCTCTTTCCTTAGCCTCCCAAGTAGCTGGGACTACAGGTACCTACCACAACACCTGGCTATTTTTGGAGACGGGGGTCTTCCTCTTGCTTAGGCTTGTCTCAAACATGTGAGCTCTGGGCAATCCACCCCTCTTCGCCTTCCAGAGAGGAGGCGTGAGCCACTGCCTATGTCTTTACCCTTAATATTTAAACAAAATATACAAAGACAGCAACCACCATAAAAAGCTCCATTAGTATGGACATTTTATCCTTCTGTATTCTTCATTCTTCCTCCTTAAGTTTACTAGTTCAGTACTTTCCATGATTGCTCATCCAAAAGTATAAAGCAGTTTATTTCACGCCCATTACCTATTTTTTTTTTTTCTAGTGAGAGTCTGTCTCATTTTTATCACCCTCAGTAGAATGCTGTAGCATCACAGCTCACAGCAACCTCCAACTCCTTGGGCTTAGGCAATTCTCTTGCCTCAGCCTTTTGAGTAGCTGGGACTACAGGCACCCTCCACAACGCTGTTTTTTTTGTTGCAGTTTGGCTGGGCTGGGTCGTGTTCGAACCTGCCACCCTTGGTATATGAGGCTGGCGCCCTACCCACTGAGCCACAGGCACCACCTTATCATCCCCTACTTTTTAAAATACTTCCCACCTCCAGTAGGCTTCTAGGTATCCTGAACACTGATTGCAACAACAATGTCTGTTATTACACCTGACCCCATTTTAGCCTGAGGCCAAGGTAAATGTGTCAGAAACACCAGGAAAGCCCAAGGATAAGGTAAGGAAAAGGGGTTGGGACATGCAGATTGGTTTAAGTTACGTTTACAACAGTTTACCCTTAGGAAACATTTTCAGTAACTGACCCAAATGGCTTACGAACTTTGGAAATTGTAGTAGGATTAAAAAGTTTGGCCCATTAAGCTTCTTTCTTCCCTTCTCTAAAAGGGGTGAGGGAGAAAAGTAATCCTAGAGGGTCCGTGTAGAGGCAGTAGAGAGGTTGGAAGCAGCTTGATAGTGGGGTAAGAGGCACAGGGAAGGTGCAGGGCAGGGGCTATGGTGAAAGGAGTAGTTGGCTTGGGAGGGTTGATTCTCCCTTCAGGAGCACGGAAACCTGAATTTGTTTGGTGGCCAAAGGGAGGGGTAAGGGGAGTGGGGAAGGCTTCTGCCCCTAAGTACCGTGCTTGGGGGTCCCGCACTCGGAGCCAACTCCTGAGAAATAGGTGTGTGGGGGGCGATGCTTGTGGCTCAAGGACTTGGAAGCCGGCTCCATATACCGGAGGTTGTGGGTTCAAACCCAATCCTAACCAAAACCTGAAAAAAAGAAAAAAAAAAAAAGAAATATGTAGATAAAAAAGACCAAAAAAAAAAAACCCAAAACAATAAAATAAGATATTAAGATAAAAAAAACCAAGAAACAAACAAAGAAAAAAAGAAATAGGTGCGTGGGATCGGTGGAGAAGAAGGCAGCCACGGTCAGGAGACCGAAGAAGCAATCTCAAGATCGGGTCGAGTAACAATGGAGGGAGCGTATCTAGCGGGACCCATAGCGCCAAAGAAAAGAGGTGACCCAGGGCTCTCCCCGACGCATGGAAGACGAAGGAACGCGGAGGGCGGGTCCGCCAGCCATCGCCAGGCACGACTCAGTGATGCGGCCACTGCGTGATGACGCACTGACTGGCCGCGGCTTCCACGTCTTAGGATCCGCAAAGGCCTGTGGGAGCGACGCGAGAGACGGAGGGCCAAGATGGCGGAAGCGGCAGAGTCTCCAGGAAACGCGGGGACAGCATCACCCAGGCCCCTGGTGAGCTTGGGATCTGCAACAAAAGGGACCGAGGGTGAGGTAGAATGCCCCCTAAAGAAGTCAGGGGACAGGCTTTTTACCTGAGAGAGCTGGAGCCTCTTCCGTTTGGGAGTCCCTTCCTGTACCCCACTGAGAACCAGTCCCAACACTGCACCTGTTCTTTGGGCTAATCGCTTTGCCCCCGCCTTCCTTGTTCCTTTTACGCCCTCCTGTGATACTCCCATTCTCTTTCCTTTCCTGTGCTCTTAAGGCTCATCCTCGTTTCCCACGCTCTGTTAAATGGAGAACTTAAAGATTCCCTAAGTATCTTTTTCCCACTGTCCTCTCATTATATCAAAACCTATTACCAGCCTTTGTTGGAGTAGCAGCATTCTGAGAGTAATGAGATACTGCTTCCCATGCATGGGACATCAAGGCGTTACTGCTTATATCTTGAATCTTTTTTTCTTATGGAGACAATTTCTCTGTTGCCCTTGGTAGAGTGCAGTCACAGCTCAAAACAATCTCAAACTCTTGGGCTCAAGCTATTCTCTTGCCTCAGACTCCTGCATAGTTGGGACAATAGGCACCGGCTACAATGCCTGGCTTTTTTTTTTTTTTTTTTTTTTTGAGACGAGGTCTTCCTCTGGCTCAGGCTGGTCTTGAACCTGTGAGCTCAAGCAATCTACCCTCCTCGGCCTCCCAGAGTGCTAGGATAACAGGCTTGAGCCACCAGGCCTGGCTATATCTTGAGTCTTAATGTGTTCATTTACCCCAGTGGGCTGGGTTTAATCTTCTTCTTCCTGTCCATAACTTCCTGGCATCCTTTTCCCCAAACTCTCATATTCCTGTCTATACAGGGGATAGAATTTTTATTGCAAGTACAATCCCTAAGTGTGGACAAGTATTTAAGAACACAAGTTTTGAAATTAAATTTAACCTTGGCTGGGATCCACCACTCTGCTGCTTGTATAAATTTGGGCAAGTCATTTCTTGGAGGGAGAGTCTTCATCTGTAAAGTGTAGATAATAAAAATGTCTGGTGCTGTTGTGCTCATAGTTCAGCAGGTAGGGCGCTGGCCACATACACACAGGCTAGTGGGTTCGAATCTGGCCCAGGCCAGCTAAGCAATGACAACTACAACAAAAAAATAGCCCGGCTTGTTGGCAGGCTCCTGTATGCCCAGATACTTGGGAGGCTGAGGCAAAATAATTGCTTAAAGCCAAGAGTTTGAGGTTGCTGTGAGCTATGAGGTCACAGCACTCTACCGAGGGCAACATAGTGAGACTCTCTCTCAAAAAAAAGTCTGCCTCAGAATTTTTATGTAAGGTGGGCAGTACCTGTGGCTCAGTGGGTAGGGCACAGGCCCCATATACTGAGGGTGGTGGGTTCGAACCCGGCCCCACCAAACTGCAACAAAAAATAGCTGAGTGTTGTGGCAGGCGCCTGTAGTCCCACCTACTCAGGAGGCTGAGGCAAGAGAATTGTCTAAGACCAGGAGTTGGAGGTTGCTGTGAGCTGTGACACCACAGTGCTCTACTGAGGGCAATTAAGTTAGAGTCTGTCTCTAAAAAACAAACAAACAAAAAAACCCTGTAAGGTGTCTAATACAATCAGTGCCTGAACTGCCCCAGTGTTCCTCTTACCAATGTGTTTAGTTATGTAGTAGTTCCGTAAGTGGTACTTGCCTTTCTTCTGTTTTTTTTTTTTTTTTTTTTTTTTTT